TCAGAGCATTAGATAACTGTAGGGCGAAAGGAACTTAGCCATTTATTTGAACAATGTTCTACTTTAAACCTACATGCACTTACTTGTATGCATGAAACTTTTGAAAAAGTTTAGATAATTTTAAGAGTTCAGTTTACTAAGTAAAAGTGGTAGAAAACAGAATCTATACATAGATACTACACAGCTACATCATTCTAATATGTGAAACAACTGCTTACAATTTTTGAATAATTTATTGCTTTGATAAAGTTCCAGGTGGCTCAGTGACAAGTTTAAAAGATTTTAGGCTAAAAGTCAGAATTAAGTACCCGTGGTGGGCACAGCGCAGATATCCCAATGTGTAGCTTCGTGCTTAAACAAACAAAAAACCAACAATAAACTTTCGCTAAAAGCTAATAAGTGACCACGGAAAAGTGGGAAGCTGTGTTATAGTTTTATGTATTCACAAAAAAGATCTCCAAAAGTATATTATAAATGCGGTGTTTCAGACATAAGCACAAAACAAACATTTTACTTAGTTCTGCTTTGAGAGAACTGTAATAAACAGAAGTTGTTCAGCAGTCAGTTCCCGAAATGTCACTCTTTAAAACAACATTTAGAATGTTTTCTACAAACGAATTTTGACACGATTGCCTGAAACAGAAACAAAACGAAAACACTGCTGCTTCTTGCTGCTAAGTTTTAAGAAAAACAATCAAATCATCTGCCATATCATAAACTCTCACTTCCATGTTTATCTACTCTACTCTCCCGTTGTCAGGTTTGTTTTTAAACACACAATAAAAAAAAGAAAAAAAGACATACGTTTTAATATTCCATTATTTACCTGATACTTTAAACTGGTAAACTTTGAGAAATTTGAAAAGTAATACCCTTTTCTTTATGATGGTACAATATTTTAAATCAATATATAAAGTTAATATCACACTAACTCACATGTGGTTAATACTACACTTTCCAAGGCTAAAATAAATATTATATAGTGTGTCCACTGGCAGTGCTCTAGAAGGAGCTTTATATATATTCACTGTCTGTACTAAAGGGGCTGTATATGTGTCCACTGGCAATGTTTAAGGAGGTAATATATGTGTGTCCACATGGCAATGAGTGAAACTTAAATAGTTAAATCAACTCTAATTTCATTAATGCGTTGTCTCTTAAGTTAAATGTGTTTGTATTATGTCTTTGAATTAAGCTAATGAAACGTATCCATGTCTTAGTAACATATTAATAATTGAGGTAACGTTTTATCTGTGTTATACTCATTCAACCTGTAGCCCGCCAGAAAAAAAAATGACATGGTTAAGTTCACACTTCATTGCTTATATATATTCCCCAATTACTATATCAACCTTTAACCCACAAAAAAGACCATGCCCTATGAAGAAAACGGTAGTATGCACGAACTACTGAGAAAACTATTTATGATATCTTTTGTGGAATTTCATTGCACTGCATTTAAACAGGAATGCTCTATTCCTCGTGTTTTTATGTTTTTCGCTAGGAGTAACATAAACAACTCCAGGACATATCAATCCTAAGTGAGCTTAGAAGTTTAATTCCAGGAAGTCCGAAAGCAGTGATAATGTCCTGAACCATCGTACTAATGTTTCATGCCAAGTGTGGGATGACTAAAGTTTTGTGTTTTTGTTTATTTTTGTAATTTGTGCAATTGTATGATGTCAGAGTTATACCATTGAGAAAAAGCCCTTCCATGTATGAAGTAACCTTATGGACCTCCGTCTAGACTTATTATCTTATGTGCATTCCTCTGTT